AGCAAAGATGATCCCACTAAGAAGACATATACTCCTGATAAGTATTTAAACATACCTAGTTTTAAAACCTCATAAGAGGTTTGAGTACCTGAAATAATGAAATCGAGATATCTCATTAAGTTATGTCATTATGAGAAAAAAATAGAATCGAAAAAGAAAAGGTTGTCAAAACACTTTTGCACATGATGTGTTGCATCATATTATGAATAGCGAGGGATCGACATAAATTCGTTGAAACAAGATCGAAGTAATGATTGACCAAATAAAATGATGCGATCATACTAAAATTTAAGTTACTCAAGAAACTCGAATTCTTGGATGCAATCCTAGTAAAACTAAACTTACTCGAGAAACCTAAAGTTTCTAAATCTATAGTCTGAACACCTAGAGATATATACATATACTAAATGAAAACGAAAAAAAAAAAGTAAAGTCGTAATATGAAATGTACGACTCTTTGTATAATGAATTTATCTAAAACTTGTATAAATAAATAAATTTTCGTGTAGCGGATGTAATCACGAGTCAATATTTCATTAGCGCATGTATTATCCTTGAAGGATTTAATATGCTTGAATCATAATTTAAGTGATATTATCATGAAAGTGAGTAAATATGCGTTGTATTTTTTTCCTTGATTAAGGTTTTGTCCAATTGAATTTTCCCAACATGATTTTTAATGAGATAACATTTGTCGCGTATTTAAAAGAATAAATATACTCATTCCTTCATTAGAATTTTCCCAAATAGTTTTTTCATAATAAGGTTTAACGAGGTATATTCTTCCGTGTAATGAACGCATAACCCAAAATACATTTTCCTAATGAGAAACACGATATTCGACCCAACTACACCTAGAGGGAGGTAATTAGGTGTAAATGCGGAATTATCAATCTAATTTACTAGTAACATGTCACAAGTTAATTATGTTTAGGTGATTAGTCAAACAATCAAATTTAGCCTATCTTTGAATACCACAATTATATCAAAATAATAAATAAAGCAGTAAACAATACCAGAATTGTTCACGGAGAAACCCAACGTGGGAAAAACTCCGGGCACTTTGCCAGTCAAAGATCCACTATAAACTGATAATACACTTACAAACCACCAATAAAGTTGACAACACAATCTTTCTGATCTCTTGTCTGAAGTAAGAAACAGCCATCCTGGAATGTGCACACTTAAGAGTTATAGAATTCAAGCATTATCCATATTTAAATTACAAACTCTAACATTTCTCACTTATGGATCGAATAAAATTTATTAAGAAAAAAATAATTTATTCTCAAACTGTAATTTAAATTTTGGTGTTTTAAGTTTTCCTCTTTTCGTGGTTTTAGTCTTTATTATTTTGCTTCTTGAAGATATTTTAGTTGAATTTTCTCTCTTACACAAATATTGTCAAGTAGTAGTGTGTTAGATTTATGTATTGAAAAGATCTATATGAAAATATTTATTAAATATATATATTAAAAATTTTACGTGTTGAGTCGAACTTGAACTGACGATTCAAGTTTGAGTTTGGTTTCAAAAATTATAAGGACCCGAATGATTCATTTACAAATCACTAGAAGTATAATTGGTGGTTCTGGATGTTGAAATAGCCATACCGACCCAATCGACGCCCTGGCCTAAATAAAAGAGGGGGAAATATACATAATTACATATATTTAAATATATAATTTCAATTTACAGAATACCAGATGTATAATGGGTGGTTCCAGATGTTGAAAGACCCATACCAACCCAACGGACGCCCAAGCCTATATATATAGTAATGATATCCTAAACACTATGCGTAGGTGGCAAACAAATTACCCACTAATGTTGTATGCCACCTAAGCGCGATTCTTAGCATAAACTAAATACCGTGTTTATATATATATTATCACTTAAATCAATGAATTATTTACACATTCCTTCCAAAAATCATGTGGTATTAACTAATATATTAAATAAATTAATGTCACAATATCATATAGTTTATGATCATAATCATAGAACGTTATAGTCACAAATAACAAATTTTATGGGTTACAACTTATTTATCGATTATAAATTATTAAATTAATTGGTCATGAGTTATTTCTTGATCGTAAATCATCAAATTAATTGGTCACAATTTATTTATCAATTACGAAAATTGATTTACGAATTAATTGGTCACAACTTATTTTAAAGTTTCAATTTATCAAATTAATTGGTCACAATTTATTTATCAATCACGAAAACATAAATTGTAGGTCACAACTACAAATTTAGTCACAAAACATTTGGTTACGTATTATTTATTGGTTACAATTATCCAATAATTGGTCACAACCACTCTTCATCCAACCTATTTCGCCCCACCACAAACGACACCACTAAAAAACATAGATGACCTCCACCACAACCGCCTTCAACGAACCACCACCACCACCTCCACCAACAATCAACACCTCACCACCATCGCAATCATACCATCATCGCAATCACACCACCACAACCATCACCACCGTCACCACTACCACCACCATCGCCTGCACCCTACTCCAAATCCACTGCACCACAATCACTACATTGCACCAGCACTACCACAACATTAGCACCACCATCGCAGATCACACGTACTATCACCACCATCGCTAGCACCCCACCCAATCGCACCACCATCACCGCATATCACCACTATAGATCGCACAACCAACGCCTCTGCCTTGTTTGAGCCACATTATTTTTTTCATTCTCATTCTTCTACTCATTTTCACTCACACATTCTTAAATAAAATAATATTTTCCTTTACATCAATAACGTTTCCTTATTTTTCAACCACATATTCTCCATCACATACAAAAATATACATTCTCGGCTAAAAAATATGCACCAAATGAGGGCCTAATTTCAATTACATAAGAATAGAGGGTAAATAGAGAAATTGAATAAAGAAATAGCATAGATAGAGAGCGTATGTGTGAATATGGATAGACGAGTGTTGTGTGTTGATAGAGAGAGAGAAAAGTAAATAGATAGATAGATGGAGAGAGAGAGAGAGAGAGAGAGAGAGAGAGTATATGGTAATTATCTTTATTTAGAGCATTTTCAAAAGACTCTTTAAATATGAGATTCTCTTTATTTTAAAGAGTCGACATTTAAAATCATGCTCCAAGAGAGTCCTTAAATTAACATTTTAATTTAGAGAGTGAGTTTGGCTCTTCACCCACTCTCTATAATTAAATGCATTTAAAGTGTTTCAATTTTCAATGTAGGCAAATAATAAAATAATCTAAAGAAAATCTAGTTAAAATAAAAGATAAAGAAAAGTAATAAATATTTTTTAGGAGTAGTAAAATTAAGAATAAAATATAAAAAACTTGTTGGAGTACTTCAAAATTTTAATTCTCTAAATTTATAGATACTCTCCAAATTATAGAATATACTATTTAAAAATAGAGAGTCACTTGGAGATATTCTTAGCTGCTTTTAGTTCAAGGATTAATTACTAAACTTTTGATAATTTAATTTTATAAATATTATAATATATATTTTATATTCTTAAAGAACTAATTAGCACTTGATTTTTGAAAATAAATCTTAACGACATGATTAATAATAATCAAACCTAAAATACATGGTTTTGCTTCATTTTCCCATTAAAGAGTCCTTGAAAGGAAAAAAGATTTTTTGTTTGGTAATGAACACGAAACAATGCTGTAAGGTAAAATAATTCTTCATCATGAAAGAACCTTTATTGCAATTAGGGAAATGAATTCTAACGCAATAGAAAAATGAAATAGAAATAGAGTTCAAAAGGGAAACTTATCTTTCTTGGAGGTCTTTTCTTATAAATACCAACCATGCAATTACCAATGGTTCATGTGATCGAAAGAATATGAGAGTCCATTTTCTTTACAGAATGAGAGTTCTTTGATAGAGAGAGCAAAAGAAATTGCACATGCCTATGAGCACGTGCATGTGTGCATTTTCTTCTAGTGTTGTGAGAATGGCGAGGAATGTCCATAAGGGAATGATATTTGATGGCGGTAGTAAGTCATCGAATAGAGAAAAAACTGAGATGAGAGAAATTAGAAGAAGAAACGATACACATGGATTGTGGTGTACGTAACTCTTCCGATCCTCCTCCCTCAGTCCCTTGCCAGTTCCTGATTTTTCATTAATTTACACGCTTCTTTTTCATTAATGTACTTTCATACAAGTTACAACCGGGTTATTATAATTTTATTTTATATCAAACTGGTTCGCTCAACACAAACAGTTCATTGATTAATGTCAAATGCTCACGTAGACATCAATTGTTAATGCATATCCTATGTGTCTATTGTTTTGATGCTAAACTCAACACTTTGGATTGTGGTAGCGATTGTGCTAGCCAATTTTTGTTTTGATATAATTTTCAATTTATTTCGAAATTCAATTCGCGATAAAAATCTACTCAATTCAAGAACTTTTATTTTGGCTCTTTGCATCTGAAAAACATTTAATAATTTCATAATTGTTCGTACAAATTTTAAAAAATGTGTTTGAGATGAAATGTAATTTCCCAGTTGACACAAAAATGATCCAATTTGAGACAAAGTTAAAGTATAGCGACTCGATCGACCGAAAGTGAAGTATTGAACCAATGGAAACTCAAGTGAAAGCACAATGATAGCTTGTGAATTTAAAATAAAAATAAGACCCGAACGTTTAATTTGGACCAACGGACATGACCCGACCCATTATAGACCTCTTCTGGATTCTGGTTCTTCTTCTTCTTTCCATTTTTCTCCTCTTGGTAAGGGTTTTACGTACAAGAATTAGAAATTCACAATTGGAATTGCTCTCGAATCCTCTTCAGTAATCCGGTAAAGCAACCATTTTTTTTTCCTCATTTCTTCCCTTAAACCGCAAACAGAGAACAAAGAACAAATGTTTCTCTAGAATTGTTCTTAATAATACTGACATATTTTTTTAACCTTTGCAGCCGACATGAAGTAGAATTGAATAAAAAGAAATAATGTTTGAAGGATTGGTGAGGCAGTTGATATTGGGATATCTGGGTCAATACATTAAAGACATCCAAGAGGAGCAGCTCAAGATCACTCTTTGGCACGGTAATTATTCTCATTTTTAATTAAAAAATCCATCTTTTCTGAAATTTACTTCAAAATATTTACAGTTGATAGGAATTTGAGCTCAATATTTGACGGGCTTTCTTTTGTGCGGTTTTAATTTAGTGGACAATATTCTTAAACCCACAAATGATCGTTCTTCTCTTTTTTCCATTTTTCAATATAAATATCAAACACTGGACAAGTTTTTCACTAAATACTAATTGCGGAGTGAAATTTTATTCATTTTCAAAACTGCAGAGGAAGTGTTCCTGGAAAATGTGGAGTTGATTCTTGAAGCTTTTGACTACCTTCAGCTTCCATTTGCTCTCAAACAAGGTGATTATTGTGTGCACTCACCGTTGAAAGTGATCTCACAAGGATTTTACTGTCATGCCCTTAATTTTCAATATATAAACATGTTTGACATATTATTTGATGTGTTCCAATACCGCTTCCATGTATGTTGTAGGTTCTGTTTGCACTTCTTGCATTTACTAAATTCTCAAATTATTCTAAAAAAAAATAATTATAATCTCAAACTAAATTCTCATTTTTGGCTTCGGTTCGGTCTCTCGATGGTTGGGACAACGGATTTCTTCTTAGTTATTGCATTGATTTCTTTATCCTCTATGTATATTGCTTTTGTTTGATTTATTAATCTCCGTTTCATCCATTATTATGTATACAAGCTTTTAGGGGTTTCAACTGTTAATTTTCTTTTTCCTGAATGCAGTTTTCTTCCAGTTCGTGCCCTGATTTCAGTGCACTGGCTTCCCTTGGTAAGCACTACTCTTTAGTCTTTTATTGTAGATCTGAAGAAAGGGAAAGTTAAGGAAGGTTAGGGTTCTAGAAACACTTCTCTATTTAGACGCCCCCAAAACTACTCTCACTTTCTTCGCGACTCCCTCATTTACCTGTCCTTTTTCTAATTTTCACTCTTTTACCCTTTTTCATTCTCTCCTCTTTTATGCTCTCAATTATTTGTGCAACTTTCCGTGCTTGATCTTTGATCAATTTGTGTCTGTTACGTCATCGCTGTGGATTTTTTTTTGTCTCGATTTTGGACTGTAGAAGCTAAGTGAATCAGTGAATTATAAGCATCAATCTTTGGATTTCATTTTCTTTTTAGTTAATTTTTGATCTGCTATGAATGAACAGTATATACAAATCTTTGTAAGATTGAAGAATTAATTTTTGGTTTTTGAGTGGTCGACGAATTCGAGCAAGAAGAATGTTATTGCTGTTCAAAACCCCTATTTGGTTTCTCCTTTTGAAAATGATGGATAAAAGTAAACTATTCAAAGTTGAAGTATTTTTGTTCATAATTTTCTTTTCTTATTTCTCCCCTTTTCATCTATTGTTGTACTTTATAATTCAATTTCTTTAATGTATGAATAATTTTTAATTCAGGATGGAATACTTCTTGAGTTTTGCTATGGGTCCATAGTAAAACACATAAAGTTTGACATAATAGCCATGTGGTCACACAAAATTGGGGGTACTTTAATCAAATTTTTAATTATGCATCAAATTTGTTAATGTTGCTAGAAACAAATGGGGTACTTTTAGGCTTATTTCCTGTTTTAATACCATATATATGGTTGTAAAATTTTATTCTATTACATCATCAACCTGCTTCTCCAAATGCTTCGGAGGTCATTTTCGTTTAGGATTATGAATGCAATTTTAAAGTTGGTCGTCTCTCTCTTATGAATTTGATTCTTTTATTTGATTATGAATTTGATTCTTTTATTGGTCGTCTCTCTCTCTTTTCTCTTGCTGAAAAAATGTTCTGCATGAGTTGTATGAGGTAATAGATTCACTGAATATCCATTCTTTATTTTAACGCTTCCCCCATTTTACTCCAAACATTTTAACCCAATGTAGTAGCATTCAGCTAGGACATCTTGCCTGTAGATTTGAAGAAAATGCTAACATTTTTCCTTAACGCTCAACGGACTAATATTACTTTTAAAAAAATACAAGCCCACGCTCCATCCCAGTCTAGCCATAGCAAACATTGAGTGATCATTTAAGATAATCCAACGCATTGCACACACTAACATTGCCTTCAAAATGGCCTAGCCCGTGCATTGCACGGGCAATGACTAGTATTCTTATATAAGGAAGATTTTGCTTATATAATCTAGTGGTCTATGCTTGAACGATACGCGAAATGATAAGAGAAGAAAAATAAGTTAAAATATTTTTATAATATATAGTACAACTAGTTAATATTGAACGTGTGTTGCACGTTATTATAAAATGTTTTGTAAGTGATGTAAAAATAATATTTTAATGTGCGTGATTTTTAATTAATATCAAGGGATATATACGTGATGATGAATGTTAAATCACTTATTTAATTTCCAATTAAGTAAAATTAGATGTTGATTAGTATATATGAACGTAAATAATGAAATATATTTTTGAATGTGAAATTCTAATTAACTTATAATTATAATTAATAACATTCAAATGCATAAACGAAGATGAATATTAAGTGAAATATATATGTTAATTAATTCATAATTAATAATAGAGAATTCATAAATTAATGAAAGCACACAAGTGAAATGAATCCGTCAAATGTACATGTACATTGATGGTAACTAAATGGTTAAATAAATTAAATACATATTGAAGAACAAAATTAAGGTATTATTGAAATAATTTAATTGTAAAAATGCTAGAATCGTCCAAAAAATTATTCTCACTTGATGTGATATCTAATATGCTAATTAGAGTTAAACGTGTATTGTACGTTATTTTGAAATACTTTATAAGTGTTGTAAAAATAATATTTGATACTAATTCGTTGGGAGGATTTGATGAGTCTCAAACAAACTAAATAAAATAAAATTTAGTATAGAAATAGAAGAAAATTATACTCTCAAAACTCAACTTCTATAATTTGAATTTTTCGTGATGATGAAATAATATAAATGAGCAACATTTTTATACTATATTTGGTATATAAAAATTAATTGCTAATATATGAATTTAAACACCCATTAAAATTCTTAAATATATGAATATAAATAAATTCATCTATGATAATTATAGATTCTTGTAGATCAAGATTTATCAAATTAAGATTCATTGAGTCTAAATTAATGTGAATGTTAATTAATAACACGAAATTCATACACGACGAGATTTTGTAGTATTTATTATATATTAAAAAACGAAAAGTAAGGTATTTTTGAAATAATTGAAATGTAGTAGGGTTAAAACCGTCCAAAATATAATTATCATTTGATGTGATAATTAATATATTGTAGATATTGTAGCAAGTATGTCCTAAAAAAATTGATAAAGCCCAAAATAAACCAAAAATAATAAAAACAAATATTACACACAAACCTATTTTTTAATTATCCATTTCAATAATAATCAGATCGTTTTGACTTTCCTTCAATAATAAGGTGTCAACCCCTCATGACACCTACTACAAAGCATTAATCCTAACCCTTTTGAATTATGTTACATGTACAATTTAGTTTGACAATATTAGTTAACAACTCACATTTGACAACATCACATTCATCCATTTCAAAAACTTTTTTTTTAAATAAATGACACAAACTTTGACAACACCAACGTTGTCAACCATTATTATCAAGTGTGATTGTACAAATAGCATAATTGAACCATTTTTACTCCAAAAAAAATATTGCCATTCACTACCATCCTCTCCCAAAATAACTCCCGCAACTTCTTTGAATGTTGGCTATTGCCTGTCGACTCTAACACCCCTCACCAACATCAAGACACCTCAACATCAACTTGCCTAACCTCACATGATTTATCACCTCAATTCACCTTTCGTTGTTGCATTTGGTGGTGTTGCACTGTCGCCACCACTTCACTGGTAAACGACTAAAAACCTTAAATCATCTCCTCCATCTCTACAAATCCTAAAACATAGCCTCCTCCTACCTCCTTAGCGAATTGAGGACCAAAAACTTGAACTATACCGTCGTTGACGGGACCCACCATCGTAAACCTAAACCCATGGCAGCGCCGTGCAACTATGTTTCTGCGTCGATGATTTATTATAATCTGATGGTAGGTTTGAGGTATATTGAAGGTGAATGTGGTGGTGGTTTGATTGTGGAAGAGGTGGTGGTTTTGAGGTGTGTTGAAGGTGAAAGTGGCGGTGGCGGTGGCGATTGTGGATTTGACGAGGAGGTGATAGTAGTGGTGGGTTGGATTTAGAGGTGGAGGTTGTGAATTTGAGGTGAAAGTGGGAGTGAGGTGGGGGCTTTGAGAATTTAAAATGGCGCGCAACGATTTGGAGGGTGTCGATGGTGGTGGCAGGGATGGAGCCACGTTAGGCTCAGGGTGGGGCACAGGCCCACCCTGAACTTGTGGGCTTAAAAAAAAATTTGGGCTCAATTTTTTTTAGTTATAGGCTAAGTCCAGCCCAAAACTTTGAGCCCAATTCCAAATGGTCACTGAATTTTGCAAAAAGTTTTCACATGGTAACTGAACTTTAAAAATCACCCAACTTATCACCGAACTTTGCAAAAGGTTTACACGAGGTCATTGAATTTTAAAAATCATCCCATTCATCATTAAACTTTGCAAAAGGTTTCCGAGCGTATCACTAATTCAGTGATCCCCTAGAAAACCTTTGTAAAGTTCAGTGACCATGTGTTAATTTTTTACAAAGTTTAGTGATGAATGGAGTGATTTCTAAAGTTCAGTGACCCCGTGTAAACCTTTTGCAAAGTTCAGTGATGACTTCGATGATTTTTTAAGTTCAGTGACCATGTAAAAACTTTTTACAAAGTTCAGCGACTATTTGGGTTATTAACCCTGATTTAGGAGAGAAAGATGGAGTTGAATTTTTCATACGAATATACGCAAGTAAATTTGATTTGGGATAGAGTTGTCGTTCTTTGTCCAGCGTGAGCTTGGGCATTGTTGGCTTTGTCAACACCTCATTGATAGACTTTTGAAAGATTTGGAGAATAGTTCTTGGTAATCTCTCTTTTTGTGGATTTAAGGCTCTGCTATCCTCCTCATATTTTAACTTCCTCAAGTTCTATTTATAAGTTCGTTTTGCATTTGTTCAGCGGAACTCTTTGCTTGTGAGGATACATGACTCATCAAGACTCTATTTTTTCTGCAGACTAAGAAGCAGAACTGCGAGGAAACCCATTTTACGTGTGGTTTAGTTCTTGGCCAGTAGTTAGTGATTCTTTAGCCTTTGGACCATGCGTGGTGTCGAAGCGTTTATTTTTTCTGATTTTTCTTTTCTAGTTGTGTTTATCTTTTCAATCATGTTTATCTTTTCTAATTGTAATAGGTTTTATCTTTCTACTCTTTTTTTTTTTTTAGATTAAGATTTTAATTTATTTTCTTTTAGAATGAAGTTTTCTTATATCAATAGGATTAGAGAATAATTTCACCTATAAATATAGCGGCATTGTACACTTTTTCATCACAATCAATTATTATTTAATATATGCAAATTAAGATTATTCCAATATCGTTCTTATATATTACATAATTCTTATTACAAGAATTTCACAAATGCCTTCACACTAGAAATAATGCAACTTCTCGCTTGAAATGATCGAAGTGTAGTGGATATATATATTTTTAAATATTTTTCAGGTGTAACCTATTTGAGAACACAATTAAATGAGACATTTATCTCCAATGCTTCAAACAATTCTAGTGATAGGCATAGGTCATTTCCAGCTCTCAAGAGTAAAGCTACTGACTTACAGTTGAGTGTGGAAGGAAGAGAGTCTTACTGGGAATTAGGGATTAAGCTTCAGCCGCATTAAACTTAAGATTGACATTGCTGAAGCATTGATCACCATGATGGTACGTCTTTGTCTTTATTTCAGGATGTTTAAGAGCCTGTTTGACCCCTATTTTTAGTGTAAAATACATTTTGGAATAGTAGTTTGATGGAGAATGTGGGGCACTAAAGAGGGTGCAGCAGTACATATTTCCAAAAGTTTCACAATTACTTTCATCTAAAAATGATACATACCTGTAGAACAATCAATGCAAGGAAAAGGGCCCTTTGGATGGGAGCTAGATATGCAAACATGAAACATGCAATAAGAGAAAAACTGCTTTGAGTAAATAACCAACTGATCTATCCATCGAGAACTTGCCACTTTAATCTGTTGCACAACACACACAGGCATATGGGACCATTACCCAATTTAACCCCCTCCATCTTCTTTGGAAAACACTTCAGCTTCCCAAAAATTCATTTGATCCCCTCGAACAGGAAACAAACAAAACTCTGGTTTTTTTGCCCTTCCTGCTTTCAGAGGTAGCTGCAATTGCCATAAGGTCTTTTTCCTGATGAGATCATTACCAGTTAAAATAGCTTCGTTTGTCTCTTCTAAATTGGGAAAACCATGAATACTAATTTCCTACTCTAAAATTTGTGTGTTAAATTTTTTTTTTTCTCATGTGGATGTGAGAAATCAACCAAGTGTGCTAGCAGTTTTCTGCATTTGAATTCTACTAATATGTTTTTTCACTAGTTTCAATTCAAGGTATAGCTAGTTGAAATGTCCGTTCTTTCATATTTGAGGTCGTAGTTTTGGTCTGAGTCATCATTGCTTGTTTCCTTTGTTCTTCATAAAAAAAACTTGGACATTCTCTTTATTATCTTTTTCCTCTTTATCTTTACCCCTTATAATGCGTATTTTTCTTGTAATGAATTCATGGTTTTGGTTTTTAGGTCGGGTTGGGAAGTTGAGCATCAAAATTCCATGGAAAAAACTTGGCTGGGATCCCATCATAATCATTTTAGAGGATGTGTATGTATGTGCCTGCAACCGGGATGATGAAGAGGTAAGTTTGTTTTGTTATTATTGAATGTGAAATCATCCTGGTGCTAATGGAACTTTGGAACAATGATGTTTTAGTTATATAGACATGGTTCATATAGTTGCAATTGCTGTATTCAAAGAATCTCTCCATCACTAGGGTCATCAACCAGAACATCTTCCTACAAAGCAAACATTAACCAAAAACCATCAACCAGTGAATAAGCGAACAATCAAACCCTAACATCAACCAAAGATCATATAAACAAATTCGCCACTGAATCCATTAACGGAAACAAATCCTGAACAACCTCTAATGACAAACTTAGTAGATCAAATCAACCTAACACCTTACTGGGCTAGGTAAAGTGATCCCTTCATGACGGGAATATGTACAGGAACTTGGATAGTGCACTGTAGTTGAAGAATAGTATCGTTGAGCAGTGAAACTTGACTCATCTAGATCTGGAATTACTTTTCATGGATTAGCTTAACAGCTCTATTGATTGGGCTTCTCTTCGGATGTGATAAGTTGTTTAGTTGATATAGATTATATATCTGCAGGATTGTTGTAATTTGAAACATCTTTGTAAATTACTACGTTTCCCATAACTGAAGCAACTAATTCAGAGTATCTGTAATGCAATTCCTTCTCCTGTTTATTCCTTTATCTGTTGAGCTATCGGCCTATTTTATTTCTATTTGAGGTAGTGGTGCATGGATGCTGTTGAAAGAAGAGAATTTGCTAGCAAAAAGGCTAAACTTGCTGCTGCAGAACTTGCTAAGTTATCGAGACGTGTATGTGGTAAGTAGTTCAATTGTTCTTTATGTACTTGTGATCATCACCCATCACCATCTTGTTTGAAACGTAAATGCAAATTGTGAGTGAAATTGTGTTATACGCAAAAGAGCCAAATTTTGACTTTTCTACGCTTGAGCAATTTGTGTGTTTTGTTTTGTTTTGTTTTGTCATTTTTTAAAATTGTCAACATCATCAGAACTGTATTCTAGTGAATGTCCCTTTAGAATTTGTCAACAAGTTGTTAGTATCTCTCTTTCGTGAACTTCGTAGTCAGGGGAAGCAGTGCTTCAGTTCTGCTGGTAATGTGCCTAGGGACCTTTTTATGAGAAGCAAAACTTAGCCCCTGTTTGAGCCCCATTCTTTAAAAATTCATTTTTCTCCAAACTTAGAGCTTGTTTGGGAGGGATTTTAATCCAATTAAAATTGAAAATATAGCTATTATTGGATCCCACTTGTCTAATAAAAGTCAACAATAACGGCTAGTTTTTCAATTTTAATCCCTCCCAAACAAGCTTCTATTTTCAACCACACACCTCCATATAAAATAATTTTTTACTTAAACCCAAAAATTTTCCATACTTTTTAACCACACATTCTCAAAAAAAAAAAATTATTACAAAACCTATTCTTCTGAAAAATGGGGTTCAAACAAATCTTCAATAAATAGATAGATTTTCTTTGCAAATCATTGTTAACATTTCACTGATTCAAGTGAAAAATCGGGAATCTATTAGAAGCATAATTAAGAAATTGTGTCAGAATATATAAATTACTCTAATAAGGGTCTTTAAAATGATTTTTTTGTGAGGTTAATTATATCTGAGATGCGTATCGTGGGCCAAGTTGCAGTTAGATTATTGCAGATGAAATTTTGCATTCATTGTTTTGTGTTGGTTGCATCCATTTGGATTTGAAGTTGATCCAATAGAAGTTTAATTCCTTCTCAACGTTCACTGCTTGTTTTCATTGATGCTCATGTAACGGCTTATTTCTTTTCAGACAACCAGGCTGGTAAATCATTTATTTCATACATCACCGCAAAGGTAGCTGGTCAATGTTGATTACTAATACCTCACAGTTTTTCTTTTCTATTATTAGAAATATATATTTTTTTCTGCATTTCATTTATCTATCTCGAGTGAATCAATATGTGTAAATTAAGAAAAGTTTAATGTAGGATTATACAACTAAATTTAATCAATAGAAGCAACTGATAGTAGGACACAAAATATATCCAGTACCGAAACTCAACTAAACTGGGAGAAGAAACTTGTAAGCTTATTCAAATAGTTCAAACTTGCAATGGGAGTTCAATCCTAGAAGATTAATAATGACCATTTGTCACTTGAGCTATGCCACATTGGCTAGAAACAAATATAGATTTGTAAGTTCTTGCGGTCGTTATATTGTTTTTAATCTTCTCTCTGTCTCTCTTCCCAGATTCTTGACAACATCCAAGTATCCATCAGAAATGTCCATGTCTTGTACCGTGATACACTGATGGCAACGGTATTTCTTCCATCAAAGAATTTGTGCAGTTTGGTCGTTCTCTGGGCACTGATATTAGTATTAATATATCATGATTATTCATGAATTTTTGTCAATTTATTTTCTTGAGTTGGAGTGAAGTTTAGGCTTCTGAAATGTGCTAGAAAGTTTGGTAGCATTTTTTTGATAAGAGTTATGCATCAATTTTCTGGGAATCCACAAATGTGGCCTCTTTTGGAACTACGAAGTGAAAATATTATTTTCATGTTAATGAAATTTGTATGTGGCAGTTGTGGAGTGCTAATAAATCAACCTCTATTCAGAGTTTTCCCTTTGTGTCCACCTTGCCTTCAACAGCCTTTGACTTAGATATTGTACTTCCTGTGGTTTTGCGTGCGCCATTTAGTAGTGCGCATGTTACAGAACCTTGAAATTTTAGCACTTTCTGAGCTGCTGTGGATTGTAACTTTCTTTTTTAAAGACTACAAAATCGAGAGGTCTTTGACAACTCTTTGCATCTGATTTTTTTGACTCCTATTGGTACAATTATAGGTTAATTTCTTTAAGTTGTAGCAATCCAAATCTCTCTCTTTTTTTTTAACACCTCTGGCGAAATGCTCCCCACCACATCCAAACCCACCCATTCACCACCGGACCCATTTCAGCCACCTATTCCCGCCGGCGTCGGCACCCTCGCGTCGCTCGGTACACCCCAGAAAACAGGCCTCACGCCACCTTTACAGCCACATTCTCAGGCGGCGGCCCTAGGTGAAAACCCTAGCGCCGCCGCCCAAGATCTGCAAGATCTCGATCCCCACCCGGCACACGCGCCTGACCAGTGGGCTGGGGTGGGGATTCCGACGCCAGGGGACGGTCGATGTGGGGCACGCGCCGCGCCGGAGGCGCATATGCTGGCGCGTGGCCGCCACGCGCCGGTGCCGGAAAAACAGAAAACTCATCTTGATGCCCCCGGTTCAGCCACGACACCTATTCTACCATCAGATGTGCCGGGAATTTAGAAAAAGTTGGGGAATGGATATGGCTTGGTCTACGATCGTCGTTTTCGAGTTGAGGCGAAGGAGTTTGCAATTTCTGTTAACAATTTCGGCACTGTTAGGATGACAGAGTGGGGCTCAAAGTTATCAAACTCAATTTGCATGGGGAGATTTGGCGCACTTTGGATGGTGAACTTGGTGGATAAGTTGAGGGCAACTAGCAGATTGACGGGTTTCGCTTCTAAGTTTAACGAATACCATAGAGCCTTTTTGGCACAACGATGTGCGAACAGCCGTGGCAGGTACTTGATGATAGCACAGCATGGGGAGAGGCGCCGAAAAGGAGTTGTGATGGTACCGGAGGGCGTGAATGGGGAAGGTTGGGCATCGATCTTGCGGGCGTTTCAGGCCGTTGTTGACTAATTTGTCGCTGGTGACAAGGCCAAACGTCGAATTGTAGACGATAGCATGCGGCAGGGAAGGACGTATGCCGGGGTTATGGCAAACTCATATGATTCACAGAATGTCGATCAACGGGTGTTGTTGCGAAAGGAAGGGGCGGTGGGTGTGAGTAACCCACATTTAATGAGGCACACAGGGGTGGAGGCAAGTGTAGGAGGTAAACATCAAGGGCTTGGGAGGATGGAATCATTGAAAGGATGGAAAAGAGGTTAGCGGGCTGGAAGCGTATGTACCTTTCGAAGGGTGGCCGCCTTACTCTCATCAAATCCACTCTCTCCAACCTCCCTACTTATTTTTTGTCGTTTTCTATTCCTGCTACAGTGGCACGTAGATTAGAGAAGATCCAAAGGGAGTTTCTTTGGGCAGGGATGGGAGAAGAGAGGAAATTCCATTTGGTCAAGTGGAGTGTAGTTTGTTCTCCTGTAAGGGTGGGGGGGCTTGGGTTGAGGAGCCTGGTCTTGTTTAATAAGGCTTTGCTGGGCAAGTGGTTGTGGCGATTTGGGGTGGAGAGGCTGAGTTTTTGGAGAGAAATCATTGGAGCGAAGTATGGTGTTATAGAGGGGGGTTGGTGCTCAGTTGACGGTCGTGGTTCTTATGGGGTGAGTTTGTGGAGGTATATTCGACGAGGTTGGAGCGACTTTCGAGATAATGTGGACTATGAGGTGGGATATGGTAATAATATCAGGTTTTGGGACGATCGTTGGTGTGGAGATCAACCGCTTAAGGTGCGTTTTCCTTCTTTGCATCGCATTGCGTTGGAGCCGTCTGCTATGGTAAATGATGTACTCACCATTCATAATGGAAGTCACAGTTGGAATCCTATTTTTGAGATGGGTTTACAGGATTGGGAATTAGATGATTTTGCATTGTTTCTGACCTCTTTGCATGAGGCGTACGTTCATGATGGAGTAGATGATCGTAGCAGGTGGAGGTTGGCACGGAATGGTATATTCTCAGTTCGCTCGTATTTTAGATCCTTAGTTGAACCTGCGCCGAGCTTATTCCCATGGAAGATGGTGTGGCAATGTAAATTGCCTCCACGGGTGGCCTTTTTATTGTGGACGGTTGTGCGGGGGCAAGCGTTAACGGTGGATAATCTTCGAAGAAGGGGTTTTTGTGTTACCGAGTGGTGTTACATGTGTAATAAGGATGGGGAGACGATTGACCATCTGTTCATTCATTGCGATGGTGTTCGGTGGCTTTGGAACAGCATTCTTGTTTCCCAAAATTTGGATTGGGTGATGCCTAGGCGAATTGAAGATGTGGTACGGGCATGGAGGAGGAAATTTCGTGATAAAGATAGCAGGATTGTATGGGATCTTATTCCGGGATGCATTGTATGGTGCGTGTGGAGAGAAAGGAATAGCCGCTGTTTTGAAGACCAATCAAGAACAACAGAGCAGTTCAGAGAATTATTTTATCTGACTTTGTATAGTTGGTTTAATACCGTGGCTAATAACCATATAGAAGGGTTGCCTAATTTCATGTCGTTCCTGTATTGTTTAAATTGATAATACATTTCACATGTATTATCTCTTGATTTATTAATATATTCTCTGATTACTTATCAAAAAAAAAAAAAAATGTTGTAGCAATCCTAAATGGTAATTATCAAATTCGATAGATTGTTTATGCTATCTTTATTTTGAAGAGATTTCAATTAAAATTGCTTCAATCACCTAAAATCACTCCTGTCATTTACGACATGCTTAATATACAACAAAAATAACTCCTCAGATGAGGGAGAGAATAAAGGAGAATATGAAGCGTTAAATTCTGATATATTCCAACAAATCTAGGTGGAATAGTGGAGGAAATGAAACCTTAAAACCCGGATATTCCAGCCTTTACTCTCATGTTGTCATGATGTATATTTTTTCTTCCACAAATGTATTTGTTGAAAGTTGTACTCTTTTCAAACAATTGTACTCTTTTATGTTTGATGTTTTCCAGGCAATCACCACATTTGGTTTAAAGTTTGAAAGTCTTACAATTATGAAGCAAAATCCTGTCGGGTATACTTCCTCCAAAACTTTATTTACGTAGCTTGTTTATATCCATTTCTAATGTCTGCATTGTCTAGACACACCTTTTGCTGTTTTATTGACAAGTATGTGGACCTCTAATTTGACCCTGGTTTTTTGTTGTACTCGTAACATGGTAATATTATTGTTGCTTTTGCCAAGGATGCAAAATTTTATTCATATAGACAAGTGGAGGAGATTGAATTTCATTGTAATATAAAAAAATGAATTATGCATGAAAATATGTCCTTCATGCAATAGAACGTAAAACAATTTAAGTAGAGCCCTTTATCTCCATTGTAATTCTGTGAAGATCTCGACAAAAGGACAAACAGCCTTGCCTCGAAGAAACCAATTTTTAGCTGGCTTGATTCTTCATTTTGTATAATGATATTTTTTATGTCTTTAGCAATACATATCTAGCTATATGGTCTAGTTGAAGTTCGTGTCATGTCAAGATCACTTTATTTTCTGTGGCTTTATGTGAGACGTTGGTGTGCCTTTACGTTTTGGAATCATGAATGAACAAAATCCTCCCATGTACAACGCCTAAAACTTACAGAGAAGATGGTTATTCTGTCTATGCAACATTTTTTTTTTTTTTTTGTACTTTAGCCTTATGTTGAATTTACTTCTATTTTGTGTATATAGTTTTGTTTCAAGTACTTGGCATATAGATGAATTAAAGCCTTCATATTTCATATTAATATGTTGATTAGAATACTTTACCAGTCATCTAGAAAATGACATGTTTCCTGTACAATTGATCACTTTCAGATATTGTGTAGAAAGCTTCAAGAGTTGATGCGATATAAATTATTTTCACCATTTCCATCTTTCCAGTTCTGTAGTTACTAATTTTCATCTTTTGATTGATGTGTAATCTTTTTTCAGATCTTCTATTGCAAAAGTTAGAGCGGGTCAAGTTAACAAACTGATTGAAGTTCAGGGTTTAGAATTTTATTTTAATACTTTCCAAGGTGTTGACGATTTGAGTTCAGAGAGCCTTGCAGAGTCCAAGCGACAGGATATTGATATCTCTATGTTAGATCCATTGGATGTATCTGTGTCTCTGTCGGTAAGCACATTCTGGTTGTGTTATATTGTTCACGAATGTTAACTTGCAGACAATTAGTGCATGATATGTGTTGCCTGATAAATCGGACAGGAGATTTGGGTGGTAGAATTTTGTGCCCATATACTGTTGTCTCAAGTTAGCATATAGCTAAGATATATGCTAAGAGAAGGTGAAAAGTGAGGGGGGGCTGTTCAATATATACCAAGGCCAAAGTGCTGGGTTTATGATCAAGTTTCAGACTATAAGAATTAGTGGATTTAGTAAGCCAATTAAACGACATTTAATGGAATCAGTTTATGAATGGTGTATCAAACAGGTTGATCCAATAAGTTAGAACAAATCTCCGAATGTAAGAACTGATTTGGAGAAGCTTAAAGAATTTGAACGCATCAAGTTTTTTTATGTTCTTATCTTTCTTTGTAAGTTCCTTAAGTAATAATCCTTTTTTTTTTTTTGAAAGGTAAAGTAATAATCCTCGGTGGGCATCAAAACTCACTGAGGCTGTGTTGACGTTTTGCTAAGGAAAAAAACAAAGGTTCAATAAGAATTTCAGCACAAGTACATCGTAGTTCGTCAAAAGTAAGTTGTTATCGCTGTCGCGATCAGGATTATATGAGGCTTAGCATCACCACCAATGAGGCAACGACAAACAAGAAACTAAGCTTTTCTTCCCAATAAATTTGGGGTTGGCTATACCGATATTGAACAGTGGAATAAACAGTAACTGTTCGATTGGTCCGAGTCTTCAGACTCATCATAGCAGAATGTTGATGAACAGTGAAGTAAACAGTGACTATGACAATTGGGTCGATAAATTTGATTTGGAACCTGGAACTCATGGTTGTAGGATTAGAGGCAAATAATTAAACAGCCACAATCGAAGAAAAGAACCATAGAAAGAAAAGGAATACTTAGGAAGCCAGAGAATCTAGAACTGTCATAAAATGACAAAGTTCATGAAAAAAACCACAACCTAAACTGTCATAGCCGTCATAGTATTTGGGTTGGCTACATGAATATGTCCTCTCCCCCATTTGGCTATAACTTTTGGCTTAGCACTAAAGCACTAAAACATTAATTGGCCTTTTCCTCTTCTGCTGAACTTCATAGCCATCATAGTATTTGGGTTGGCTACATGAATAAGTCCTCTCCCCCGTTTGGCTATAACTTTTGGCTTAGCAAAGCAATAGAACATTAATTGGCCTTCTCATCTTCTGCTGAACTGTCTGATTGGATATCTTTCAGTGCTAATGCTGTAGAGAACATCTTTTCCAGTCTTGCACATTCTTTTTGTTTTGATTCTCATTTTCTCTGTGAGATAGGTAGGATATAAGAGATCGAATAATTTGTTAGATGTTTCTCATCTCTCAATTACTAAAGATCGTTGTGTTTCTTTTGTAGGTGAACAGATCAGGGAAACTCGAGAAAGATGCTCCGCAGTATACCATCAATGTTGATTTCACTCGGGTGGTTCGTTTGTTGTTCACAGGCATTTTTGAGCAATGAGTTCTTTTCTTATCTTTTGAGAAACATCTCATTGATTAATACCGTTTAGCTGCCGCTTTTGTAGGTCATGTCTATGAATGAGGTTCAGCTTCAGCAGATCTTAACTCTGTACGATTATCTATCTTTGTGTCAATTGAGAGAGACGTAAGTACAGTTAATGTTGTCATTTTTGGCCTGAGTAACGCTTATGCTGTTAATGGTGTATCTAAAACTGAAATTGTAAGCTTCATCTTTATTACTTCCACAATTTTTAAAAACTTCTAGTGATTGGATGATTCAAAACTTCCTTTCATTGTTCTGAATTCAAGACTAAACTTGGTTGTCACTGAAGCTCATGTCTGAAAGTTATAGTATCTTACATTTAGTTTCGATTATTCTTACTGATTTACATTTTTTGTGCAAATTGAATATATGTAGTTCATGTTATTTTACCCTCCATGTTTTGGGTCCTATAAGTTCCTTTCTTTTTCCCACAAGGTAATTTCTTAAGTATCAATATCTATAGTCAGTTTACTCCCAAAAATGATCAAGATTGCCTATTCAGCTGTACCACCAAACATAAGCAGAAGTCTTGACAGTAAGAGGTTCTTTTAGCATATGAAGTTATGAAGTATCAGGGAACCCAAAAGAGAGAAACCAAAAACCAAAAAGAGAGGTAAATGTAAAAAAAGTTGACAGCTATAAACAAAAAATTGTTCCTTGATTGCATGTAAATGATAAATCTTGAATTCTTCAACCAGTGTTCGGCACCTGAACTCTCTGACCAACGACAACAATTAAATAGACTATGAACCAACAAAAAACTTGATTAGGAAAATAGAAAAACGCGAAATTCCCTCATTCCCATCCCCCTTCTACTTCTGACACCACCTATCCTTATGCACCTGAACTCCATCTTTACCAGACCATGGAACCAGGAGGCCGCTTAATGAATATTATTTGTCAATGACGTAATTTTAATTGACAAGACTAGGAGGGAGATATCAGATATATAGTGAGTTGGAATTCTATGATATACCGATATGATCCGAGATCTCGAAATTGGAATAAGTTTGGCCACCCAGATTCTTCTGATAGGAAGATAGACCTCAATGGTAGAGAATGCTACGCCTTTTCTTATCTTCTTCCTACCCAAGAAGAATCAGAGTGGTGAGTAGGGCGAAAAGTTCCATACATTGGGAAACTACTTGGGGAAGAGTTAGGAACAAGAACAAGGAGAAGTGGGAACCACCCAGAGCCACTCCCCTAGCGGTTTTGCGACCCTGCCAAACATGAAAATGATGCGAGTTTTGGATGCTATCGAAAAGCATGGTAGAGGGAGATAACTGGTACTTTTGGCTTCTCCTTAAATGGAATTTGACGTAGAAGTGAATCCCTAGGGATCAAAATGCGTGGTGATACTTGCGAAAATCAAAGGACTATTTGCTCTTTGGGGTTGGGCCTTTCATACTAAAATCTGTACAGGGAAATGACAATTATTAAGCGCACTAAAATCTAGTGGATAGAGTCAATATTCTTGAAAAGCCAGGATGCCGTTAAAACCAGAAGGTTTTAAATAGAAAATAACATATAGTCAATAGGATGTCCTTTTAATGATAATTGGAATAAGGATAAAATGGAGTCAAAATAGATCATTATGTGCTAAAGAGTGATTGTTTAGGTATTTAGACTTGATGATCAGAACAGGAGGACTTGAAGACTTGAAGATGTATAGTGAAGGAATAGAGTGGATGTATAAAATGGAGAACTGTTACAGAAATTTCATGTGATCTAAAATACCTGTCAAATTAAAAGAAAAGACAACTTTACAGAATGGTTATCAGACCAATTAGGCTTTATGGAACCGAGTGTTTGGCCACTAAAGGATAAATGTCCATACGATGAACCAAGCAAAAATAAATACATTAAGTTTATGCATGACAATACTAGACGGATACAATAAGAAATGGGTATATGCATAAACATTTTAAAAGTGGTAGCAGTTGAGGATAAATTGAGGGAATCACAAATTATGTGGTTGGACTATGTATTGCTTTGACCTAAAGAAGCTTTCATTTATCAGAGGGGTGTCGATCATAATAAAACCTGTTACAAGAGGAGGGTTACCAAACCAATATGGTGCTTGTTTGGATTTCAATATATGTTGCTAAATTATAATGTGATAGAAATGCGTGGTGGATAAGTGGGTAATAGTTGTGGATCCTATGAATTATAAGGAGATTATAATGAAAGCAAACAAGCACATGGTCTGATGTGATTAGAAAATATTTGATTTTTTTTTTTTGTTTAATAAATTTATTGTAGGATTGAATGAGTGATTATAAAGGATTTATGTTGTTGATCTCAAGTTTAATAGGTAAGGGTTAGCTTGTTATTGTTATTGCTTGTTCATCTGGACCATGTCATATGTGTTCATTTGATCTACAGTTTGTGCATCTCTAGATGTAGAGTGGATAGATTCAAGAGGTTAACTTCGAGGTCTAATTGTGCTTTAAGGTGGATTAATTGCAATATATGATGAAAATCAATCTCATAATCTTTATTTAGGGATAGTGAGGTCTTCCTTTGGTATTTCAATGAAGTCTTTGCTATGGTAATAGTTGCACAAAATGGCTTTATTATAGCGAAATATTTTCATTTGAACTTTATCCTCTTCGTAAAGAGGCTCCAGATACAGGAGTTAAGCTATCCATTGTTACCTATAACTCGAACCCCTAAAGGTGCTTGCTCCTGTATAGGTGCTGATTCGGTTAGCTGCTAAGAAGTCAGCGCACAGAAGCGTATGCCTCCCACAAAGATATTACTTTTTAAGATATAAAAAAGAAAGTACACCTTCAACGATGGTACTCATTAGGGATGAAAAATAGCTCTAGTAATTTTAAACTGGAAGTTTTGCTGTTGGAACTGGAAAATAACCAAAGGAGTTTCTCTAGACTGATCGTAAAGGTGAGATAATGAACCCTGTGTACATCCCCTGGAGAAAAACGGACAGACTATTCAAAAGTTTAATGATGGGCACCATCTATACAACTTTGTCTCTTATGTCTTCCAATGTACTACTTTCTCTTTCTTTGTTTTTTTAAAATTTCTCTCAATTGTTTTGAACTCAATATATCCATTAACTGATACAGATTTGAACATCTGTGGTAACAAATACTGGTTATAGATGGTTCTGTACTAGTTTATTCTCTTTTGATGTTGTAGATATGGACGTTATCGTCCTTGGCGGACTCCTTTAGATAGAAAGCTCAAGGGGTGGCAAATCGCATGGTGGCAATATGCTCAACAATCTGTTCTTTCTGATGTTCGAAGGAGGTTGAGGAAAACTTCTTGGAAATATCTAGGAGAGCGTCTGTAAGTTTTTTATTTTTTATGAAATAGTCAATTTCTTCTATTGGTATGCTGACAATTAGACATGGCATCATTGTTTTCTAAAATTGCAATTGCAATTGCAATACATGTTTTAGTGATTTGCACATCTAGTCTAGTACATTTTGTCAGATATGCACCATCCTTGCATCTTGAGGTGGCCTTCCTTTTCTCTTTCTCAATTTGCTTATGATAATTTGGAATATCATTATATCATACATTATTTATCTAAATCACAATCTATTTAGAATGAAACTTTTATCAAATGAGAGTTTCTTTTGAGGTGCATAATTTAAGTAAACTAGCTGCATCATCTTGAATTTTTAATAGATATAATTGAGTGAGAAAGTTTGGGGTGGGTAAATAATGGGAGCACAAGTGGTTGGAAGGTCACAACAAATGTGATGCGAGGAAAGACGGAAGGAATTAGAGACAAGCACGAGGGAAGATAATCATCGTGTATAGACCCATTATACATTTGAATACTTGATGGTGTAGGACGAGAAAGTCAAGTTTAGTTGAGCACATTTAGTAGATATTTGAATTTTGCTTGATGTTGTGAAGCCTAAATCAGAATAGTGATTGCTTGGTCAGAAATCGTGTCATGATTTTTGTGCTCATGAATTTAGCTAGTTTGAATAGATTAATCAATGCCAGCTTTTATTTCCCAAGATGCTAACAAGGCTCCCACAGTTGTTCAAGAAGTGTCCTTACCAGTATATTTGTCAAACTACGAAGTTAAGCTCTTCAAGACCTGTCAATGCACCTCATATTACGTTGTAATATACCTGTCCAAATTGATCCTTCTTAATCCCTTCCTTATTTTTTCCTGCCCTGAAACCTCATTCTCTTTCTTTCTTTTCTTCTCTTTTTTTCTTTTCAGCAGGTGATATATTAAATTTTGTCGCACTGCCTTACTTTAAATAGCATTCATTTCAATTAATGTTCTACATGTATGCATGCCATGTACACGACTGAGGGTTGATTATCAATTTGATCATATTTGACATGTTGTGATTGACATTTTGTCCTTCTCTGAAATGCAAATGTTCAAATTTTGAACTTTTGTGACAGAAACTGTCGCCGGAAATACGTGAGCTTGTACAAGATCAAGTTGAAATGCCTCAAACAGGATCAGGTGAGGACAATGCCACACACACGGAAACACACACATGCATATATGACCAAGTGTATGTGTGCTTATCTAAAGTTATATACTATAAAGCACCGACACAAGACACATCGACAAATGATTTTTCAAAAAAGTACGACACGACACTTTGTCGACACGTTGATTAAATTCTTTAAAATTCTTCATTCATATAGTATAAATTTAGTTTTATACTTGTTATTAATTTTCCTTATCGAAATCTTTTAAATATGAATACTTATTTGTTATTTAATAATAACTTTAAGTTAAAAATATTATATATTTTGATAAAGAATAAAATAAACCATGGCAGAATGTTCAAGAAGTGTCGGTATCTAACACGTGTCGAACATAGACACGCTACCCTAGTTGAAGTGTCCGTACTATAGAGTTTATATAATAAGAGGACGAGGTGTCCTGTACAAAATTTCAGAAAATTCAAGTCATATCAAGAAACTTAAGAGCTCTCTATCACACTGAATATCCAATGGCAGTATAGTATGGATCTGAGTTTATTGTTGAATGTAAAGAGTCCAAAAGGCAGTGTGAAAGGAGCTAGGAAAGATTAATCTCCATAGAATCATTGTCACCTACTAATGTGAGTAAGTGGCAGAGATTTTTTTTGGAAGGTTTATGGTATGATTTTTCTGAACTGAGCATGTTATGTTGACAGTTGACAATTTGAGCAGGCATGGAAGGATGTGTATAAATTGGTTCATGCTTCATGTGTAAAGAAATAGAAGAGGATGTGAAGTTTCTGTAGAGTTGTGGAACCTTATAATCTTTGTATTTTGAGTGACAATGGAGATGCCGGACTTAGTTGCTTTATTGAATCACTGTATAGTCGACTCCCTTTTCTTGGTATTAAAAAGCCTTGGTGTTTCATTATGTGACTTCTTTGGATGGAACAAATAGAGTGAGTGAATAGATATCTTTCTAACGCCTGTCATGTAAATAATTTGGTTTGCTCCTTTGTGGGGGTTTTAGTATATTTTGTGGTGACCTAAGTCCTTTTAAGTGGTATTAGAGCCAACTTCATAATGCTATCCACTTGGGCAATTTGGGATTGTGGAGTAGGCCATGAATTTGAAGCGGTGATGATGTGATATATTAAGTTGTGATGTTTGTTACTGCCATCCCTCATGAGTTCTGTGGCAGTTATGTAAATGGAAGGATATCAGCTGCTCATGCTTGTCACCATGGGCTCAAGTATTTTGGGCCAGTAGGTCAGAATCCAGCATTTTGCCTGGGGTGATAGTGAATCAGCTGAGTCCTTTAAGTGCAGACTTTGGCATATGCTAGTTACCCTTTATTTAGGAAATATATTTTGGAATAGAAAGTAACTTGGGAGCTCAACCTCTGTGCTGCAAGATACAGAAAAACAGACTCCGAAGTATCCATATGAGAGCATATGCACGCAAAATAAATACAGAATGAGAAAAACATCTCCAAAATTTCATATAGATTCCACCTAAACTTCCTGACAAAATGATAATTCTTTTCTAGAAGAATACGAAGAGTATCTTGATAAAGCTTGTAATGTCTCAATTATGTAATCCTCTCGAATCTGTCCTGCCATTTGCTCTAAAGTAGGCATTCTAACTATGAACAGTTTGTTAAGATTGGTATCTTTTTAGAAGATGAGCTCTAGTGTTGATGGTATTCATCCTTCCCTTAATGCTGCCTCATCTCAATATCAGAGTGAATTGCTACTGCTGGCTGATGCCTGATGAAACTTTCCCATTCACCCTCAATTTTCTAGTTACTTCATCAATTTTATCTCTTGCTCTCATTCTCTTTGTCTAACTTAATTGTGATCATCAGGTGATAGAAGAAGATGTCCAGCAGGAGTTGGAGGAAATGGAGAAAGCAACTGATATAGATGACATCTTGGGTTACAGATCTATGGCCGAACGTGAGCTAGAGGTAAGAATGATGCTTAGCATGCTCAGAAATTGCAGTCGAGTTCTGGTCCAGTTAGTTTCTTAGATTTGAATCTTTGGTTGTTATCTTTATATTTTTGGTATATTTGGCTGCTAAGCTCTATCGAAGCCCTACTTTTTATCTAATACCAAATTACTTCCCTCCTATAAAAAGCACGAACGAAAAATAATAAAAATGTCTATTTTGATTTTGAATTAATTGAACAGAAAGCTTTTTGTGAATGTTAGTCTCTTATTTTTAGGATTTTCTAGTGAATTCACCCTCCAGCCAAGAAAGCAATGCTGTAATTTTTGAAAAATCTCTGGAAGATAGTCGTCTTCCCAGCAAGCCCCGGGGATGGTTAAACTGGTTGTCCCGTGGGATGCTTGGTGCTGGTGGAACAGATGATTCTAGCCAATTTTCAGGTGTTATTTCTGATGATGTAATAAAGGTATGCATTTCCCTTTGAGCCTTGGCTTTTATTAATGATGTCTAGAAGGGGTGGTGTGAAATTATATTGATAGTTTTGTTCTTTCTGAGAATCTTAATTTTATCTGTGCAGGATATATATGAGGCGACAAAATTCCATCCTTCTCCTTTACTAAATGGTGACGTTTCCTTGATGGATGAAGTTTTCTTCTCTTCAATCAAGTTCAACATTCGTGAAATTTGTGCAACACTTCTGAGTGTGTATGTGACTTATTTCTTGTACTTTGGAAGAAACTTTTAATAGAATTTTATATTTATTCCTCACTTCTAGTAGTCCTCAAAGATATCAATGCCTGCACTGAAGTAGTTACTGATTTTTTTAGGGCTTCTAGAACCTTAAAAACACTACATGTCTAGAGTATATTTTATGTGTTGAAAAAATTATGACCTGTGCTGGTGTTGCTGTTATCAACAAGAAGGTAGAGGAGGCTATATATTAAATTGTTTGTGACAGATATCTGGAAATGCATTCTCGTGTCTCATAATGCAAGCTTTTTTACCTTTAACAAAACATTTGCTTTCAATGTGCAATTTTTCAGTTATGTGCTTCATAAGATCATCATGGATACTGTTCTTTCCCCCCACAGTGCCTCGAATGCAGATTGCATCTCTTCTTATATATCTTCCACTGCATCTCTTTTTTTCCTTTATAGTACTTGATGATCCCACATGTTCAATTAGTTTGCATTTTTGATTGTGTTACTAAGCTGAGATTTTGATCTTCCTTCTGGCATCTGGTAACTAGTAGTTATCAATGCTGGCATTTTATTAGAGATCTATACCTTTTTATTGTTTCTTTGCATGTTACTATTGGGATTTGGACTATTATATAGTACAATTTCTTCAGTTTGATCCTGAAAGCAACTTTTGTTGCTGACATATAATTTGCAGTCATCATTGTTGCTATTAATGCATTTAAGTCCATTGATGAGAATGAGCTGGGGAAAGCTTAACCCAATTCCTACAGTGATAAATATGAGCGCAATTGAAATTCCAATATATAATAATTGTAATAATAGTAACAACATCATCAGAATCATAAACAACAGCAATAATAATTACACATCAGTATTTTTTGCTGGGTTGCACCATTACTGGAATTGTATCTTTGGTTTTATTTATCCTCCATTTAAGGATGTATATAATGAAATTCTGACACCTATCATACTTAGGGACTTGGGCGGTGCTATTGCCAATGTGATGCTAGATGAGATTTCTGTTGAGGGCAAGCTCTGGGAGAAATCTGGAGTAGTTACTGCCTCAGTCAAGTCTGTGCAGTTGCTTAATCCATGTAACAATCAATTTATTTTATTAACAAAAAAGGTTCGTATAAATTTATTCCAGTCTTATGTATGTTAATTTAATTATATCTTCCATGAGAAATGTTTTGAAACATGGATGCTAAACGTGAAAAATCCAATACCATGACAAATGCTTCTACAAAAAAATAAGGGATGCTTTGATAAGTGTTGGTACCAATCGACTGTCTTTTTATGAGTGTATGGCTTCTTATTTTAGCATACTACTGAGTGTTGATTGTGTGATCAATGAAGAGCTAAGATAATTGCCATCTAGTGCATCTGCTTAATATTCTCTGGAGGTCGTATATTTAATAGGGTTCTGGTATTCCATTTTCTGGAGCGTTAATATTACAGAATTTTGTAATTTCTTTGAATTCTGGAAAGCAAAATATTTGTTTGTTTTAAAATATATTGCTGTCTTTTGAATATTTTACTTGCACACGGGTAGTGTTTTCTAAAGGGCATCCAATAGTAAGAAGGTGGTTCGATGATTTTAAATAATTTTATTGCGGTTCTTATTTCTTATTGAGTGCTGTATATATTTGTTATAAGTTTGATGCAATGCACCACTCACTGATCCAGTCCTCCCATGGCCACTGGTCTTTCTACTTTCCTCTCAACAAGTTCTGAAACTGCACAACTGCATATTTATAGTTGGAAGCATGATAGTAGTCTACATTACCAGCATCACAGTGGCATGACAAATTCTGATTTCGTGGATTCAAGATACTATGGTCATACCCCAAACTTTGCCAATGTAGTGCAGCTTTGACCATAATATAGCGTAAAATTGCTACAATTTTAATCAGGATATACCAATTGCAAAATGCTCTGTCTAGAGGGTCAATTTTACAGGAGTATACATCATGTAAAGTCCTTGTGTTTTTGTTTCTTGTGTATTTGCTGGATGCACATTCTGATTAGACTTTAAATGATTGGTGTTGCAAACAGCCAATTTGCTTTTCATTATTTTTTTTCCCACTGAAACAATCACATATTTTAGAAATGCCTGCAATTAATAAACAAATGTTGTAGATTAATTGTTTCTGACATCTTTCATCAATAGTTGATTGCCCTTATTTGCTGCAGGTCTATTCTGAGGAAAATCTTCTTGAAATTCAGCCTTCACTGAATATCAAAATTGACCTTTCCCCGACAAATTCTGATGTTAATTTATCAGTCAAGGTAGTCACTCTGTCTTCAGCTCTTAAGAGTTTTAGCTGTTCCAAAATTTGAGCTCAGTAATTTTCACCATTATTTCTCCTTATTCTTGTTTTGGAGATTATTGACTGGGGTTGATTGACTTGTAACTTTTGTATTCAGGTTATACTTCATCCAACTGAGGTGATCTGTGATTCTGAGTTTCTTAGAAACATTGTGGATTATTTTCATGTCTTGAAACACTTGAGCTTTCAGCAGGAAAGGGTAAGTACATGACAATAATTTGCGGGATGATTTCCTCGTTTGTCTTCCCTTCTTTATATAAAGTTACAAGATATTTTGGATACAAATTATACAAAGAAACTACCTATTATTTACAAGGAAATATCTAATTAGCCATAAGTAAATAATATTCTAATAATATACTAATACCTCCCTCAAATTGATGTCCACAAGCATAATTATGACGGTGGCGAGTTAGGGATTTGGTGAAGATATCTGCAACTTGGTGAGTATTGGAAATATGGGGAAGAACAATGACCTGGAGTCATAAGCGTCTCGAATATAATGACAGTTCACTTCAATTTGTTTAGTGCGTTCATGGTACACATGATTGGCCTCAATTTGAATAGCACTAGTGTTGTCACCATGGAGAGGCATAGGTGTCACGCGTTTTATACAACGTGAAATTGCCGCAAGTGTACGGTGTCAAGTTTTGTAATATAGTGATGAAATAGAGAATGTCGCACACACAGGGATTGATGTATGATTTCTAATGAGTACTATAATTGTGTAGTTTCCACTTTATCTGGACAAGCGAATTGGAATGATGTTGTGATTTTTGTGTTAATGGCGATAACTAAAGTTGCAAGTACACGAAAATAAAACTCAAAGAAGTTATCAAATTATGAAAGCCTAGGGAATGATTTCATCACACTATCAACAATGTTTTTCAACCTATAATATGTCACCTCAGTCAGATTTTTCTTAATTTATAGGCAAGAACCCTAATTTAATTCTATCCCCTCTCTCGAGTGCCGGCTAGAATTTATTTCTA